TTAAAAGAATGTCAATCCTTGTTAAGTCCAGCAGAGAAAAGAGGAGTCAAGCACAATCATCTCCTTCCTTCCCTGAACACATCTCAGGGGACCAAGAGAGGCAAATAGAACACAAACTAACTGGATAGAGGCAGAGATGTGCACACTGGGGACAGCCCTCCCCAGCCACGGGTGTCTTCCCTGGAGAGATACGAGAGGCCATTAATGACATCTCCATCTGACAAACGATCACAGTGCATGTCATTACGACCCAGTGCTTCCCCGGGGCCCTGGCAGAAAATGACCCCGATGAGCTTCAGTTCTTGCAATCACAGCTGCTCCCCATGAGCAGAGCAGAGCTCCAGGCTCTCTGGGTTAAGCCTCGCTGAATGCCTCAGGCAAGCCAAGATTGACATCCCTGCTCTGGAGCTGGGACCCCTAAAAGAGGAGTAGGGAAGCCCACATGCCCCTGGCACAACTCTCCAGGGCAGGGAGCTGAGGGACACCTCGCACTGCATTTCTGAGAGGTTTAAAATTACCTCTGTGCATCTCAAATCTGTCTGTCCCTCTCATCTTCCTCCAGACGCTGGGAGTGCAGCACATCTCAGGTAGGGCCTGTGGTGGGTCCTCAGCCAAGAGACCCCTGAAACTGCCATCTGCATTTTGGCATCCTGATGCACCTGGATCACTTTAACAGCCCTGGCTGTCCCACCTTAATAGGGCCAAAGGTCTCAGCCTGCCCAGCAAAACCAGAGCTGAGTCATTCCTGAGTCTCCCTGTGTGAAAACAAGGAAGAATTCCTGGTGTAAAGCTGCTCCCCTCCTTCCCACATTTCATCAGCAAGCAGCAACAGGAGCTGGGTTTTCTCTAAACTCAATTTGCTCTGCAATGCATCCTGTCCCCCTTGAATAACCCCCCATCCTTGCCTGGGAAAAGTGGGAAAAACCCTGAGGAGACCCACAGACTTCTAGAGAAAAGAGGCAGTGCTAAGGAGAGGTTCACACCTCAGTGCCTGCATTCCAAGGTTTTAGGCAGATTGGATCTTTGTGTGTCCTGAAATAGCTGTTTCAACACCCCCTGTGTCCTGCAGGCCAGGGAGGAGAGCACCAGGCTGGTATTTCCCATACCTGTGATATTTGGCTCACCAGGAAGGGGGGAAAGGTGGGCAAAAGGGATGTGGTAGGAGCTGGAAATTCAGTTTTATCGGCTGCAAACCCAAACCGACGTGCCTCCTGCCACACAGATATTCCCGGCCAGGCACACCCCAGTTCCTCCATGCAGTCTGACTTTCACAATCCCTTCCCAGCAGCTCAGCCTCTGCTTTCACTCTGAATTACCAGGGGGAATTTTCATTACATCACCAGAGGCGCTTCCTCCTCGACAGTGACAGAGCTGTCACTCTGCTTTGCAGGGGGTTTTTGGGGTGTGGGTGACGAGGGTATTTCTCTGGAAAGAGAAATACCTCCCAAAAGCAGGTCCAGCCCAGCTCAGCCTCCCCCAGTGGCTCCGTCCAGGCTGGGAACGGCACTGGGCAGTGTGGGGTGGCTCCAACCGGTGTCTGGACAAAGCCTTCTCCCTGGAAGCCTTCCTGGGGGATACAGCGCTTTCAGGCAGCTTTCAAAGTCGCCTGTGCCAAATCCAGCGGGGTCGGAAGTCAGCAATCTTCCAGCTTTCTGCCAGCGTAAGCAAAAGCAAATTTGCCTGTTGGAGCTGGGATTTGCAGAATGATTCGCTGCAGCGTTTGAATCCCCCTCTGCCACGCCCCCGCCTTCTGTATCTTTTTTTGTTTGTTTGGTTTGGGTTTATCTTTTCAAATATCCCCCAGTTTAACGGTCAGGCTTGGTGGCAGCTTCCCCGCAGCTCCGGGGAGGGGCTGATCTGATCTCACTCCCAATCCGGTGACTTCCCAATCAGCCTCTTTCCTCCTTGGCAGCTTGCTTTCCTGCCCTCTGCTTCCAGTTCCCGGCTGTTTGTCTTGGGATGGGTTTTAGTTGTTTTGTTTTGGTTTTTTTTGAATCAAAACAAACTACCGGGTTCAAACTGCTAGTCAGGAACACGCTGAGCAGGAGCCTTTGCTCCTGGCAAGAGCTGTGGAAACTCGCCATGGAGAAACACCTCAGCCATGGAGAACTTGTTTTTTAGCAGCTGGGATGTCTGCATCACAGCAGGGTCCGGACAGTTGGAAATCTGTATCTCAGAGCTCCATAAAAGCACTGAGTTTCCTCAAATATATAATCACTGGCAAGAGCTCTGCACAGCTTGGGAGGAGGGAGGACGGCTCTGAAGTCACTCGGATTTACCCTGGCCTCCCCCAGCCTTGCTGGTATCGTGATTCCTCATATAAGGCAGTGAAGAGTCATTTCTGCCCCATCAGCCCATCCTTTCCCAGGAGCTCCAGATGGTTTTGCTCTGTCTCTCTGTGTCTGCACTACTGGTAATTCAGGCCTGTCTCACATTAGCTTTTGAGCTGAAACCTTCCCACAATTAGTTTAGAGTCTGCTTCTGCGCTGCAGAGGACGTAGGGCTGAGCTGGCAGAGCGCTGTCTGGGAGATCCGTCCCACACAAGTCCTGTTCAGGTTTCTCTATTTCAGTCAAGAGTGTCATTTTCTAGTGAAATCATCAAAGCAAGACAGTCTCTGCTGCAGATGGGCAGCGACAGCCATTTGAAAATGCCTCATACCTGGCTTGTTTCTCAAGACAGGAGTAGTTAACTTCAATATTATCTCATTTTACACCAACGTAACATCTCTCTCTTCTTCATCTGGCCCTCCTTTCCCAAGGAAAAGGGATCTTTTCCTCTGGGAGCTCCACAGCACAAAGTGTCAGGGAAATCTTCGTACCTGCCCAAGGACCACAGCTCAGCAACTCAGGGAAAATGTGGAAGCATCCCTGCTTCTCTTGGAGCAGAGCTGTTTGGCTCTTGCCAAATTAACTTGCTAATTAACAGGGTTTTTTTGATCCCAGGCAGGAATTTACCACTCAGAGGCCAAACCTAAGTGTGGTCCAAAACTTCCAGCTGGTCCAAAGCCCTGTGTGCCGTGGCAGGAATGTGAAGAGCTGACAAATGTCTGGGGAATGCAATGTCTGGAGAAGGACTTGGGTGTAGCAGACATCTTGGGATAAGCAGTAAGGGAGGGCTGTATGGCAGGAACAGAATTAATGGAGAAGGAGCACAGGGAAAAGCAGGATTGCTGCAGGGCGTTTAGGAGAGGAGGAAGCTTCATTTGTGCAGGTGATTTATTCCTTCTGTGCCTTCGTTCACCCATCAGACAGGGAAGTGTCATCATTATCCTCGCTGTGCCGACAGATCTGGGGTCTTTGCCTACAGCAATCCAGCAGCACCAGCACCGAAATCCTGGTTCCTTGTTCCCATCCCAGCTCTTGGAAGGATCCTGGTAATAATAATCATGCAAACAGGCTTTGCTGAGGGAGATGATTTCAGGAATGGTGATAGCTGGGAGACAGTGATGGAGCCACACTTGTCACATGAATAACCACAGTCTGTCCAGGCAGAGCTGACAGTCTAAGGCAAGGCAGCTCCTTCTGTGTTGATTTAAGAGGCTCTTCGTAGACACAGCAGATCTTTCTGCTTCACCTCCCCTGCATAATAAGAAGCAGCATCCTTCCTTTTAGTTTATCTGCCTTTGGATGGGATGTGAGGCTGGCAGACCCCTCTGGGCACAGGGGAACCCTGGAAGGAAGCTGAGGCTTTTAACTTTCTGCATGAGTGCAGTGAGAATGTGGGTTGTAGTTTCAGTGCCTCTAAACCTGGCACTCGGGGAGGAGTTCCCAGCTGAGTAAATCTTTATGTGATCTTCAGAAATGTTATCAAGGAGGGACACAGCGAGGGACAAGGTGCTCCACTGGGATGGATGGATTTAGAGGGGGCTCCTGAGTTTACAGACACCCCTCTCCAACAAGAGCTGTTAAAAAGCAAACTGCCCCAGGGTTTTTTAAAAATAGAAAGCCTTTTTTTTCTGCACAATTCAGCCAGAAGATTCCCCCCATTCCAGGCCCTGGGTGAGGCAGCCATGGCAGTGCTGAGTGAGGGATCTTGAGATGATGTAGAGCTGAAGGGAGAATCATAGAATAAAGTGAGATGGAAGGAACCCATGAGGAATATCGAGTCCAACTCCTGGCCTTATGCAGGACACCCCATGAATGCCACCATGTGCCTGAGAGGGGATTCCCTCAAACATTGAGGGAATCAGGGCACTGAGGGGAAAACGGGAGCACTGAGGGGACCCAGGGACTGAGGGGAGCCGGATGTTGCGGGGAGCCAAGGGTGCTGAGGGGAAATGGGGAGCTGAAGGAAGACAGGGGTGTTTAGGGGACATGGGGGCACTGAGGGGAGCAGGGGGTGCTGACAGAACCGGGATGCTGAGGGGAGCCGGGCCCTGAGGGGAGCCAAGGGCTGAGGGGAGCAATGGTGCTGAGGGGAGCAATGGCGCTGAGGGGAGATGGAAGTGCTGAGGGGAACCAGGGGCTGAGGGGAGCAATGGCGCTAAAGGGAACCAGGGGCTGAGGGGAGAAATGGCGCTAAGGGGAGCAATGGCGCTGAGGAAAGATGGAGTCGCTGAGGGGCAGGGGGCACTGAGGGGAGATGGAGGCAGGGGCACTGAGGGGAGTAATGGTGCTGAGGGGATGGGGGCACTGAGAGGAGCAATGGCGCTGAGGGGAGATGGAGGTGCGGACACTGAGGGGAAATGGAGGCGTTGAGGTGCAGGGGGCACTGAGGGGAGCAATGGCGCTGAGGGGCGGGGGGCACTGAGGGGAGCAATGGCGCTGAGGGGACATGGAGGCGCTGAGGGGAGCCCAGAAGCAGAGCGGAGGCTCAGCTCCATGCTTCAGAGCCACTTACAGGCACCGCAGCCGCCGGACGAGAACGGGCACCGCAGGCTCTGGGACTGCCCGGAGGCGGTGCCCACAACCGAAATGGCGGCGGCGGCGGCCGCGCCCGGTGCGGGGCGGGACGAGGCGGGGCCGCGCTCACCCGGCCCCGGCTCCGCTTTCGTTACAGCGCGGCCGAGGCAGCGCCCGCGGCGCCCGGAGCCCCCGGACTGATCCGCTGCCTCCACCTCGGACCCCCGCCGCCGGTGACACCGCCGGGCTAACCTCGCCGCCATGGGCTCCGAGCGGGATTCCGAGTCGCCGCGCTCCTCATCCATCCACTCGGCCGCCGCCAAGTGCCCCAAGCCCGGCCGCCGCCGCCGCCTCTCCTTCCAAAGCGTCTTCTCCGCCGCCGCCGCCTCCGCCGCGGGCGGCCGCCGCCGCGCCAAGGCCGAGCCTTGATTNNNNCGCCGCCGCCACCGCCCCCCGAGGAGGCTCCGGTGGTCCCGGAGGGCGAGGAGGAGCTGGAGTGCCCGCTGTGCCTGGTGCGGCAGCCGGCGGAGAACGCGCCGCGGCTGCTGTCGTGCCCGCACCGGTCGTGCGGGGCCTGCCTGCGGCAGTACCTGCGCATCGAGATCACCGAGTCCCGCGTCAACATCTGCTGCCCCGAGTGCAGCGAGCGCCTCAACCCCGCCGACATCCGCCGCCTGCTCCGCGACTCCCCGCACCTCGTCGCCAAGTACGAGGAGTTCATGCTGCGCCGCTGCCTGGCCGCCGACCCCGACTGCCGCTGGTGTCCGGCCCCCGACTGCGGGTGAGTGCTGCGGGGACGAGGGGTGGCGGTGGGATGCTGCCACTCCGTGCTGGGACAGCAAAGGGGGACCTGCTTGTCTCTCCGTCCTGGGACACCTCGAGGAGTGGGGAACCGCTGTCCCCATAGGGTGCTGATCTCTCCATGCTAGGAAAGCGTGTGGAGTTGGAGAACCCACGTCCCTTCCATCGTGGGACAGCTTGGCAGGGGAAACCTGCTGTCTCCTTAGGGTGCTGCCCCATCTGTCTGTCCTGAGGCGGCTTGGGGAAGGTAGACCCCACCCTGGAGGGATGCTGGCTGTCCCCAACACGTGCTGGGGTAGCTGGGTGAAGTGGAACCCGCTGTGGTTGCTGCCTGTCCCCAGCGGGTCCTGCGGATGGCATCCCGGCTGGCATGGCCCTGGGGCTCACTGTCCTGCCCGTGCCCACGTGTTTCCCAGGACGGCACAGGGAGGTGTCCAAACCTCGGCAGGGTGCTGCTGTGTCCCATGAAGAGCCCTCGCTGCAGGGGATCTTTGCTTATCTACAGTCTGTTCAGGACTGCTGATAGGCCTTGGGTACCAAAATTCCATCTATCCCCATTATCTCTCAAGAGCTCCAGGATTTGACCTTGGGGATTGTGAAAGCACAGACAGACTGGGTAGGAGCGATATGACTTGAAAGGGGTTTTAGCAGAGCCATCACTCCCCTAATATAACAGAAACCTTTTTTTCTGCACAAATGGTAAGTGTGGGCTTTCCCAGCTGTGCATTTCTCTGCCAGTCCTGGGGACAGTGCATGTGGACAGCGCTGCAGCCTCCAGTAGTGGGGAAGAAGGAGCAGGAACCACTTTTTCCTAGTGAGGACATGAATACACAGCAGAGAGGAGTGATGTTGACTCACTGTCCGTTGCCCAAGAGAGGAAACGTCTGTCTGTCCAGAAGTCAGCCCAGCCAAGCTTGATGACTGTGTAGTTATGAACGTGTTGCTTTCATTTTCTCTTCCCTTTTCCTTTAAACGAACTCTATGAGGTTTCTGTTTTGGGTGTGAGCAAAAGCTGCCTGGAAAAGGGCTTGGTCGGGGAACTTAAGAGAAGTGCTGTGAAATTGAGCTACAACTCAGCTTGGATGGCAATTCTGGGTAGCAAGAACATGAAAGGAAAGTCTGACCTAGTAGTCGGAATGGAAAAGTTGGTGGGAGGATTGTGAAGATTTAATCAGAGCCTTGTAATAGGCATCCTATGCAAATCAGTGAACCTGGCTCAGGTTACCGATTTCACGGCCTCTTGAGCATCCTGTATAAGGCCTTGTTCCTTCAGAGGGTGAAGCTAACAGCAAACAACACCTTTGCTCCTTTCTGAAGCCAAATCAAGTGCAAGATCTCGATATTTCAGCAGCTCTGGGGATGAGATCGAGGAGATAGAGCAGCCACGGTGGGAATGCCTCTGCTGCTAACCGGCTAGAGAAAATCCGGCTCCTGCTCACCGAATCTCAGCTCCTTGACTGTTGTGATGTTATCTGTGCCCAGGATAAGGTGTACAAACAGCGACGTCACCCGGGCTGGCTGGTTGGAAGGAGCCAGCTCCAGCACGGCCCGGAGGGCGTTGCCTCTGTGACAGCAGCCTGAGCCTGATCCCTTCCTCTGGGGAGGTTTGGGCAGGCTGCTGTCACACACGGCTCTTTCTCTGAGCTGGAGCCTCCTCCCTGGTTAGTCAGGGAGCAGGATGAGCCGGGTGTCATGCTGGCATCCTCCTCCCAGCTGCCCAGAAGAGCAAGAAGCGACCCGGGGGCTGTTGGAGATGTTGGAGACAGCTCTAGTGGACCAGCGCTGCTGGTGTGTCTGTAGCGCTGGAACAAAGGCTGTTGGAATCAGCCCTCCGGCAGGGAGAGGAATTAATCACCCTATTCATTCTTCCCAGCAGAGCTTGTGTGGCTGTGCTTATGTAAAATCAGGGTATGAATTATTTACAGCGGGCTTTCCCCGCTGTAGTAGTGCAGGAGTAGTACAGAGTGTAGGGCTGGGGGCACGGCAGGGTGATGTTTGTCACCCACCACTGTCACCCGAACTGAAACTCGCCAGCAACGTCATTTCAGTGTCAGAGAATCGAGGCATTCCTTTATTCTGGCCAGGATGTGCAGCAGAAATCTTTTTTATCCACACATGCCTGGCTTGTGCTGTGAAAATCATTCCATCCCACCTAGTTCTTTACCAGACTTTTCACATATTTATACCTTAAAAACCCCCAAGAAATTCACGTTGATTGGTCTTAAATTCCACAATGATTCTATCTCCTGTTGGTTATTGATCCCTTCGATGCTAATTCAGTCCTCATTCTTTGGTTCTCTTATCGATGTTGCCCCAGACCAGGTGTCTCCAGCCTCACCAGGGGGTGATGTTTGTTGATGTCCCTTTATTTCCTCTGTTTCTTCTGGCTCCTCCCAGTCTGTTGATGTTCAGCTCATGAGACCTCACCCGGGCTTTTGAAGAGAAACTTCAATTCCCCTCCCCCTGGCCAAAGGCAAACAAAACCCCTGAATGAAGTTACGACAAAAATGCTAAAAGTTGTATCATTTCCAGTACCAGTGAGGTACCCCACAAGGGCTGGGGTGGCATTCTCTGGTCACCCCCACCGAGGTGGCAGCATCAAGGGGCTGCAAGGCTGTCACAGGACCTTAAAAACATACTGTGCCTTCCTCCTGCATCCTGCAGCGTTTCCTAAATGAAAGAGCCTGGCTGTGCTGCCCGGGAGGAGGAGGAGGAAGACAACACAACACCGGTGCGTGTTGCCATGGGAACCCTGGTCAATTGATGCGCCATCAATTGCAAAACAAATCATTTTCTGTGTTTGCAGCTCCGTTTGGCTTTTTTTTTTTTTTTTCCCTTGCTACAGTCAGGTGGTATTGCTGTCTAGTGTTTGTCACACTGCAGCTTTCCCAGAAGTCTGGGAGAAAAACAGAACCTTTAAAGAAAACGGAGGTGTGTGGGCTGAGATCCATGAATGGGCAGAAGGAGGGACAGAGGAAACTCGTGGCCTTCTAAGGAGGGGGCTGGAAGTGGAGCTGTGCCATTCCTGGGGTCTCAGGAAGACACACTGCTTTGTGGGGAAAACTCAGGGAGGAGAACTCATTTCATTTCTTACCTAAAGGGATTGAGCCTGAAAATGGCCATTTAAGCCAGCAGTATGTCAGAGGTCAGTGGAAGAGGAAAACCACTGTCCATCCAGGTCCTGCCATGACTATTCCTCAGCATTTCACTTCAAAACCCACTTTGTAGTTGACCTTGACGTGGAGATGTGTTATTTCTTTCCCCACTAGACACTCCTGGAGCTTCTTTCCCCACAGCTGTGGGCTTGTGCATGATATTTGTCATTTCAGCTCCAGCAATAAAATATAAATGCTGATGATTTTAATTTCTTGAGTGTTTAAAAAAAAAAACCCAACATTTTGAGTGAGGAGTTAATTTAGAGTGTGCTTAATATATTACACTGAGCTCTCCTAGGCTGCTGTTAGGGTTTGAAATAGCAGTGTCACAACACAGCTGGGCAGATGAAGCTTTTCCTTTCTGCTTTGCCAAGGGCAGGCCAGGGGGTAGTGGCAGGGTGAAGAAATTTAGTGGGATATTCTTTAGACAAAGTGCACAGGAATCAAATCCATCCCTCCCAAACCCCTTGGGTCACTTCCATCTTGAAATTATCGTATAGGAACAGAGTGGTTTGGCTTGGAAGGGACCTTAAAATTCATCCAGTGCTGGGCTGGGACACTTCCAGGGATGGAGTTTTCCCATCTCTCCTCGTGCTGGGCTCGGGTGCAGGTGTGTGGATGCACAGGTAGAGCTGCAGTCGTGCCTGCCAGCCCTCAGATGTTGTTTCTCTGGCGATGCTGTCGTAGCCTGGCAGGATGAAGTTGCTCAAACTCCCACGGGATATGAATCATTGTGGTATGACACATTCAGTGGTTCTCACGCTGCTGCCTTGGAGAAGAAGAGGCAAATACAACTCGAGCCACACAAGCTCTGAACATGAAACCTTAAATAGGAGTTATTCTCCTCTGACCACTAACAAAAATAGCCTTTTTGCCATTTGGGTGTTGCAGGACTGGGAAGGCACTTGTGGAATTGCTCATGTCAGCCCCTGCCAATGGAAACAGCCTCATCCTCAGTGGCTGTCAGTCACATTTCTGCAGCACTGCTTGGTGATGCTGCTGAGGCTTCTGTGTACACAGGACACTTCCTTCTGGGCATGTCACACTACTGTCACAGTGAGCTGGTTGAGCTTGGCCTCTCTCTCTTGCACAGTTGATTATTTCACTCCAGTTATGGCTTGTTCCAAAGGCAGGGCATTGTTCTTCACCACTCTTTGGAAAAGGAAGCTCTGAGGAGCTCACTTGTTGACTTAGCTACGTATGGAGCTGTTATTATGGAACTGTTATTCCACTTTTTTAGAATCATTCAGTTGATAGAAGTGCCCAGGACAAGCTCAGCTTTCCTAGACTCCTCTGAACCATCCACAGATCTGTCTTAAGGAAATGAGGGATATGTGTGCCTGGAAAGAGCAGCCAGAGCCCATCCTGGGAGGAAACAGCAAGGAGTTAGCTGGGCACACGGAGCCAGACAAATCCGCCCTGTGTGAGCTGCCAGTGAGAGCTGCCAGCAGTTACTGAGGAGAGAACAACTCAGCATCTCAAGCTGCCTGCATGAAAGGTCCCTGCCCTGAATAACCCAATTAGCACTGCTTAATTTCAGGCCCTGCAGAGCTCAGGAATGTGTCTGGCGTGGAGGCTGCTGTAGCAGCGATCGGGAATGAGATGGGGCAGGTGGGCTGCCGGCTCTGGCTGTGTCAGTGAAGGGTCTCTCACTTGGTAAATTTGTGTTTCAATTCCTCCCCGCAGCTACGCCGTGATCGCCTACGGCTGTGCCAGCTGCCCCAAGCTGACCTGCGAGAGGGAGGGCTGCCAGACAGAGTTCTGCTACCACTGCAAGCAGATATGGCACCCCAACCAAACCTGCGACATGGCGCGGCAGCAGCGCGCGCAGACCCTGCGCGTACGGACCAAGCACACGTCGGGCCTCAGCTACGGACAGGAGTCAGGGCCTGGTATGGAATAACCCCTTTTTCATAGAATATCACAAGTTCAGACAGACCCACTGGGCTCCAGCTCCTTGCCCTGCAAGATTCACAGCCTGATTTTTGGGCTGCTCGGCGCTGTGCGTGTGGGTGATGAGGAAGCGGCAGCTCTGTGCAAACCTCCTCCCCTCGAAGTGTCTCCAGCAGCTGTGAAACTCAGAGTCATTTCCCCTCCTCCTGTGTGTTAGAACACATCTGATCTCTTCCAGCAGCACCAAATAGATCAGTAGGTGATGATGTGCTTTGGGTCCTTTTGTGTCACGGCAACTCCCCTCATCCGCCCCAGCTCTGCTTGTGGCTCTTTTGATCTTGGATGTTCTTGCTTTTTTTGCTGATCTAAACACTGAACAAGCAGTCACTTTTTTTACTGTTGGCAGCTTCAAAGTTGCCTGGTGGTGAGGAGCAGCATTCGTGGCCAGCTGAGTGTGGGGAGCTCTGCTCTGTGCACTGTTAGGTCTTGGTAATGGCAGGTACCAAAAAAATGCCAACCCACAGAACTCCTCCGCTGCCTGGTAGGAGCTGCTGTGTCTGCTGAGTTTGTGTTCCTTAAAAATAACTGTATTGACTCTGGAAGTGGGCAGTGAGGCCATTTTTTAAAGCCCTGCCCTATCCCCAAACAAAATACCCTGTTTTTCCTTCTGTGTGAGGAGTTTAAATATTAATTCACTCAGCGTGGAGCTGTCGTGGGTGGTTCTGAGGTGGCTTAGTGGTGTGCTGAAGTCCAGCATGCTCCAATTTAGAGAACCCTAAGAATGGACAGCATAGATACTGCCCCAGCCAGCAGAAAAACCCAGTTTTTCTATCCTGTTAAAAAGATCCCTGCCAGGAAGGGCACTTAGCCATGGGAAGGGAGGTTTTTGAGACAGTGGTTTCTCCCCACCCCGCCGTGCTGGATCCAGCCTGGTGATTAATAAGGTGTGAGCTGGGCTCACAGCTGGATTTCATCTTGCTGAGCTTTGCAGGGGCCAGCAGAGCCCTGAACCACGGCACAGCCATTGCATAACCACGATCAGATGATGCCTGAATTAAGGAAGGGATGAAAACCCCTTATCCTGCTCTGCCAGCAGCAGGCTGGGGCCTGGGCAGCCTCTGCAGCTGTGTGTGGCTGCAGCCCCTGTTCCCCTAAAGGCCGGGTTTGGGGTTTCTCCAGTGCCTGTTCTCCCAGTTGTTGTGTTGTTCTTGGCCCATGAATCACCTCCGTGGAGCAATTCAGTAATGGCTCGTTGTGCTGGGCAGGTATGACTTGTTCCCTGTGTTTAAGCATGAATTCTGGAATACATCCCATTCAAGATTAGAACAAGCTTTTGAAAGTGGCTGTTGTTCCCAGTCCCTGCTGTTGGTGGGGTCTGTCCCGTCAAAATGATCTTCTCTGAGATAAATTAAAGACCCCCTGTGAGCAGCAAAGGTGTTCTGCTGCAGCGAAAATAAGAATTTCAATCCTTAAATGAGAATCCCCTGGTTGATTATTGACTCTGAGAGCTGAGATCCCATCTGAATTCCCTGTTTCCTCCCCTCAGCTGATGACATCAAGCCGTGCCCACGCTGCAGTGCTTACATCATCAAGATGAACGATGGCAGCTGCAACCACATGACGTGTGCCGTGTGTGGCTGCGAGTTCTGCTGGCTCTGCATGAAGGAGATCTCAGATCTGCATTACCTCAGGTGAGCAGGGCAGCTGCACGTGCCTCTCTCAGGCTGTGTGGAGGAGTTCACTGCCCCTGCTGGACTTTAATCCCCCTGCTTCAGTGAAATTTTATTGTTTCTGACCCGAAGAGATGAACTCTGATCCCACTTTACAGCATTTAGATGCTCTTCCCACACCAAACAAAGGTCCTGATACAATTACTTTTGAGACCTCTTGGTGTACTGACTATTAAACATAGGCCCAGTAGTGTGATATTCACCTTTTGGGGGGAAAAAAAGACAGAAAACTTATTTGTGTTGTCTACCTGCTTCCTAATTTTTTGTTTTTATTCATATGCAAGTTGAACTTGGGATTCTCAGGAGCTTATAGGAATTGCTGGAGTGCTAATGTCATTTTTTTCCCTTCCCTGAAGCCCCTCTGGCTGTACATTCTGGGGCAAAAAGCCATGGAGTCGTAAAAAGAAGATTCTCTGGCAGCTGGGCACGTTGATTGGAGCTCCTGTGGGCATTTCCCTCATTGCTGGCATTGCCATTCCTGCCATGGTCATTGGCATCCCTGTGTACGTTGGGAGGAAGGTGAGTGTGGGGGGCAGAAGGGTTTGGGCTGTTCTCTGTGCTGACCAGACATTTAGAGCTGATAGGAAGGGTGGATCTTGTCATAGGACCCAAATTCAATTCTCTCTTCTAAAGCTTCTCTTATCTCCTGGGCTTTGTGTGGGCAGGGGGAAGGTGGTGGCTGATAGCCCTGGTAGCCCTTCAGGCTCAAGTCCTCCCAAATGCATTTTGCATTTCTGCTGTGCCTCTGCCTTGACCCAGGAGCACCCAGGAGGTCCCTTTTGAGCCCATCAGCCCTGTACTTTTTGTTGCTTCCTTTTCTTCAGCACAGACCCTCCTGCTAGGTCTGCTCTGTGAGGAGATCTGTGCTCAAAATGAGGTTCCTCAAGGGCTCGTGCAGCTGGCAAAGCTGTAAAATCACTTCTTAATGTCCCCTGGGAGTCTGCTGTTCTCACCTGGTGCTTTTTCTTCCATCAGATCCACAGCAGGTATGAGGGGAAGAAAACCTCCAAGCACAAGAGGAACTTGGCCATTACTGGTGGGGTCACCCTGTCTGTCATTGCCTCCCCAGTCATTGCTGCTGTCAGTGTTGGTAAGTGGCCTCAGCCCTGTCCCTTCTGCTGGCCTGGTGGCCACTGAGACAAGTGGGTGGCCCAAGGACAATTTGCAGTGTGGGTTTGGGCACAATGCTGTCTCACATCCTGGTGTGCTCGAGCTGGCCCACAGCCAGCACAGGGCTTGTCTGCAGCACCAGCTGGCTGTGTCACAGCCCATCCTGGAGTCCCTTGTCACACAGAGCTGTCTCCTGTCATGGTTTGGTGGCTGATGCCTTGGGGGGGTTCAATGCTCTTGGGGTTCCCCCACTCAGCCCACAGTGCTCCTCCACTGTCTGCCTGCATAATTGTGAATTGGAACCTTTGAAAGCAACAAAAACATGACTGAGAGAGTCCCTAAAAACTTTTTGCTGTCTGCCCAACACATCTTCAAGCTCCTCTTAACCCAGCTCATCCTCCTCTCCAGGAATTGGGGTCCCCATCATGCTGGCCTACGTCTATGGGGTCGTGCCCATCTCGCTGTGCCGGGGTGGTGGCTGTGGGGTCAGCACAGCCAACGGAAAGGGCGTGAAAATCGAGTTTGATGAAGATGATGGACCTATCACAGGTAATCACTGGTGATGGCAAGGGGGTGAAGCAAAATGCTCTTCTTGTTGCCTCTTGTAATGAAATGCTTTGAGGTTCTGATGTCTCCCAGATCTGAGATGAGACGTCGCAGCCGAGCGCTCCCACTGCCGATTCCAACCCCTTGTGCTCTCCTTCCCCGCAGTGGCCGATGCCTGGAGAGCCCTGAAGAACCCCAGCATTGGAGAGAGCAGCATTGAGGGGCTGACCAGTGTGCTGAGCACCAGTGGCAGCCCCACAGACGGGCTCAGTGTCATCCAGGGCAACTACAGCGAGACCGCCAGCTTCGCCGCCCTGTCCGGGGGCACCCTGAGTGGGGGGGTCCTCTCGGGGAGCAAGGGGAAGTACAGCAGGTAACTGGGCTGTGGGAAAAGCAGAGGGGTTCCCAAGGCCTGTGTGGGTTGAGTGGGTTTGTTTTGGGGAGCTTCCCAGGAGTGTGAGTGAAGCTGCTTTGACCGAGGGGTTGTGTGGTGGTGTTTTTGTGCCCTGGTCTGCTGTAGAATGACCAGGTCTAGGAGATCACCTAGGATGACCTGGAACCCAGAGCCACCCAGGGTGGGGAGGTACTGGCTCAGATTGTCCAGAGAGTTTGTGGGGTCCCCATCCTTGGAGATGTTGCAGGACCAGGTTGGATGGGGCTCTCAGCAGCCTGGGCTAGGAGAAGGTGTCCCTGTCCGTGGCAGGGGGTTGGTGCTGGATGATCTTTAAGGTCCTTTCCAAACCCAAACCATCCCATGATTCTGTTTCTGGAGTCAGTGCCAGTCTAATTCTTGCAAGGAGGACAGATCCCTACTGAGCTCCTTGGGACCACAGAGCTGATGCTTCAGCTTAATTTGGAACAGCACAGAGCTCCTGCCTGCCCTGCTTAAAGCTATTCCAGCCCTATTATCCCAGCCTGGAGGCTTTGATGCTTCCTGCTCTGCAAGCAGGGTCATGGCTCTCCAAGTCAGGAGGTTACACCACAGTTTTCCTCCTAACTTGCCTGTGAGTCAGTTTTCTGGGTAATTAGAGCCACGTGTTGATGTGGCAGCCAGGATGTAATCACAGCTCTGTGCGAGATCCATGGAAATCAGCTCTTCGCAGGAACCGTGTGAGTCATGGATGTAAACACGGCTTTACCTCCGTCATGGAAAACCGAATGGATTTGCCTAAATGGAGCCAAAAATGAGACTAAATGAGAGCAACCACTGGGGTTAAACTCCTGTCACGTTGAGCTGGGCCAGCTCACAGGGATTCTTGCTTTCCCATGAGGAGCAGGGATGGGTTGGTGCTCCTAAAACATCTGAAGCATTTCTGAGGAATTCTCTTCTTTCCTGCAGGCTGGAAGTCCAGGCAGATGTCCAGAAGGAGATTTTCCCCAAAGACTCAGTCAGTTTGGGGGCCATCAGCGACAACGCCAGCACCCGAGCCATGGCTGGTTCCATCATCAGCTCCTATAACCCCCAGGACAGGTAGGAGGACGTGGAGAGCTGAGAGGAGCGTTGGTGGAGGCTGTCCTGGGGAAATGCAGGCTCTGGGGGTGGTGGGATGGCTGTGTTTGCACCAGGCATCCATCCTTCTCCAACACAGGAGGAGGTCTGGGGACAGTTTGGGAGCAGCCTCCATGTGGAGGCTGGGGAGGGGATCTGCAGCCCAGCACCCTCAGGGGCTGTTCTGGCACTTTGAGGGGGCTCTGGAGCTTTCCCAGCCCAGCCTGGGGGTGATCTTGGCTCTGTTGGGAGGATTCAAGGAGAGCAGCGAGTCCTGGGGTGATGAGCAGCATCTTGCTGGTGTTTGGGGGGGTGTGATCCTCCCAGTACAGCCCAGTTAAACCCAGTAACGTGAGGGTGGTTGTTCCTGCCCTGCAGGGAGTGCAATAACATGGAGATCCAGGTGGACATCGAAGCCAAACCCAGTCACTACCAGCTGACCAGCGGCAGCAGCACAGAGGACTCCCTGCACGTCCACACCCAAATGGCAGAGAACGAGGAGGAAGAAGAGGAGGAGGAAGAGGAGGAGGAGGAGGATGACAAGCAGGAGCAGACGTGCAAACACCAAAGCTGTGAGCAAAAGGACTGCATTGCCAGCCAGACGTGGGACATCACCCTGGCCCAGCCCGAGAGCATCCGCAGCGACCTGGAGAGCTCGGACAGCCAGTCCGACGACGTGCCCGACATCACCTCGGACGAGTGCGAGTCCCCCCAGTGCCAGACTGCAGCAGGATGCCCACACACCCCCAGAGCAAGAGGTGCCCAGAGCCCAAGTGCCCACCTGAGCCACTGTGCCCAAGCCGAGGGCTGCCGGCTGGATGAGATGGTCCAGCTGGAATGCATCGAAGCCAGAGTGTGACCTGAGCACCATCCCTGTCACTGCAGCTTCTGGGCCAGGGTTGTGTCCCTGTTGGCTTCTGTTTGCCATCCTCCAGCTGGCTCCCCCAGCCTTGCCTCGGGGAGTTGTTGTTTCTTACGTGACACAGGAAAAAAGCAACCAAAAAAAGAAAAAAAAAAAAAAAAAAAAAAAAAAAAAAAGCAAAGAAAAAAAAAATCCCCTTCGCCCTCTTTTTGTTTTAATTTATTGGTTCAAACTCTGTGAGGTGTGTAAGAGTGTAAATATGTACGTGTGTCTGTATGTCTGCAACCATCCTAAGGGACTCTTGGAATAAAGACTCTGGTTGTCATTGGACCTGAATCCAGCTCATCCTTTGCAAAGCTGCAGGGAAATCTTCCAGCTGCCTTTGTCCACGTGAATGCTGTTCCCAAAGGCTTGGGCAGAGTCTCTTCTCCCCTCCTTGTGCACCAGGGCTGGGTACAGGTGAAAGCAGGAGAAGAATGGGGAAAAAAAGGCAAATTTCCAGCATTGTGGGTGTGTGGGAGGTGAGGATGCTGAGAGCAGTGGCTCAGGTGGGACGTTGGGGACAGTGCAGTGCCAGGAACCAGAGTTTTCCCTGGAACTAAATTGTGTTAAAACACCCCACAGCCCCTCAGTGTGAGCTGAGCTGGGGGCTCCTGCTGTCCCTGTCCCTGGAATTTCCCTGGAAGCTCCCTGAGGGCAATGGCCACCAAACCAGCTCCTCTGGGTCACCATTTGGCCAAGTCCCCACCCGCCCTGACCCCTCTGCTTTGCCCTGTCCCTGCAGGGCAGTCCCTGGCAGTGCTGCTCAGTGCTCTGTGGCCTGGCAGTGTCCTCAGTGCCCCTTCCCAGACCCTCAGCCTTTGGGGACTTGCCTGGCTGGATCCCAGCCTGGGGGGGTGGCGATGGGTGGGGAGGGGGATGAGGAAGCGTGGAATGGTGAATTGGCACGGCACGGCACGGCATGTCACGGCACGGCTGCTGGCTTGGCAGCAAGGGGAGGGCAGGGGTGGGACACGCAGGAAAAGGTGGAGTTATCCCTTTGTCCCGGGGAGCTGGTCTGACAGGAACCGGAGCAGCAGGCTGGTGGCTCCGGGTGGCCCCGGTGTCCTGGTCCTGCCCAGACCCGATGGGGCCGGGGGCTGAGGGCAGGGCCACGGCAGCCCCCCGGGGCATCGAGGGGCTCTGATGGGCTGATCGTGGCCCGGTGAAGATGTGCCGAGTGGGTGAGTCGGGCTCTGGGTGGAATCACAACAGGAGGGCTCCGTCTCTGCCCTCTGCAGGGGAAACTGAGGCAGGGAGGGAGGGAGAGGAGCTGAGGGACTCGGATCGGTCAGGGGAGGAGCTGGGCTGAGCACCGGTGGTGATGGCTGTGTGAGGGTGGGCTCCAGAGGGGGAACAGCCCCACGGTCACTGCCAAACCCAGCCCTGGAGCTGCCATTTGGGGCCAGCTGCTCTCCCGGAGCTTCCGAGGAGCCCCAGCTCTTCCCAGCCCCACAGGGACCCTGTCCCCACGGCCGCTGGCCCCACACCTTTGCTCCAGTCCCAGGAGAGCTGGCTGGACCAGTGGTCTGCATACCTGGGCTTCCACATCACCTCCTGCCTCATCCCCCTGCCAGCACGGGCCATGTCCTCTGGGTTTGTCCCCAAATGTCCCATTCCTGTGCCAGGTGCTCGCCACCCCACACCCTCCTCTCCCCTCGTCTCAGGCCACCTGGATCCCAGCAGCCACCGAAAGGTGCTGATGAAAACGGGGCTCATCCTCCTCATCGTCGGGCACCTCAACTTCATCACCGGGGCTCTCGTCCACGGCACCGTCCTGCGCTTCGTGGTCACCGCCCGCGACGCCACCTCCCTGCACTACGGTGTCACCAACAGCGCCTCTGTCATCGCTGCACTGCTGGTACCACCGGCAACGGGGCTGGGGACACGGCGGGGACGTGGGGAGGGGTTGGGGTGAGGGAGGGATGGGGGAGGGATGCAGGGTGGGAAGGAGGTGGGATGCGGGATGGACGCTGCTCTGTCTCCCCTTCCCCACCCGAAACAAACCTTTCCTTGGGGAATTCAATGCTCCAGGGCTCGTTGCTGGGTGAGGCTGTGGGAGGTGAAGCGCTGCCCCTGGATGAGCTCCCAGGGACAGCACCAGCAGGGAAAGGTGCCCGGTGTCCCTGGGGCAGGGGCTGCTCCTCCCTGACCCCCCCGTGCTTCCCGCAGACCATCTCCTGTGCAGTCTCTGCCCTGCTGCTCTCCCGTTACCTCGGCCCTGCTGCCCTCGTAAGCACCCCCAGCCCCCTCCCAGGGAGCTGCACAGCCCCCACAGCCCCTCTCTGGGGTCCCTCCCGGGGAGGGGACATCCCCAGGGGACATCCCCGTGCTGCCTCTCCTCTCTCTCCTGCAGAAATGGGCGCTGCTGGCCCTGAGCGCCTGCAGCAGCCTCTGCTGCCTGTGCTGCCTGCTGGGGCTGCTCGTGGCCATCGGCCTCACCCTGGGCAACCAGGGCCGGGTGCTGCTGGCCCCCTGCTCCATCTCCAGCACCGCCCTCGCCCCGGTGTCCCCCGAGTGTCCCTTCGACCCCACCCGCGTCTACGTGAGTGCCCCGTGGGGAGGGGACGGGATGTGCCGGGCATGGGGAGGATGTGCAGGGGGCTGATGCTCCCCGCTGCCTCCCAGAGCTCCACGCTGTCCCTCTGGGTCATCTCCCTCCTGCTGGAGGCCATGGGGATCTTCTTCAGCACCCGCTGCCTCCTGCTCACCCTGGAGCTGCTGCGCCTCGGCCGCTGCTGCCGCGGGATGCTCCGGATGAAGGTGATTCCTGGTTCCCGGCCTCAGCTCCCACCCCTCCCCTGCAGGGCTGGGGCAGACCTGGCTGGGCCCAGGGGTGACTTGTGGATTTGATGTTTCCACCCCTCAATGCTCCCATTCTCATCCTTCTCTCTGGCTTCCAGGTCTCTCTGCAGGCAGCCCCAGTGGAGAGCCCCGGCCCCGGGCAGTGCCTGGGCTTGCTGAGACTGGACAGCGGAGAAACTGCCCGGCTCTGAGGGATAAATGACCCTGTGGATGTGTCCTGGCCGTTCCTGCCCCGTTCTGGCACCAGCACAGCCCCAGGACAGGACTCAGCTGCCTCCCAGGATGTGTGGACACATCCCCTGGAACACGAGCCCATCCCTGGGGCTGCAGCGTGGCATAAAATCCTGGATCCAGACCCTGCAGGGAGGAACTTTCCCAGGGGTTCCGTGTCCCCTTTCCCAGCACGGACTGCACTGACACAAACTTTATTCTGCAGGTATTAAAGCCCAGAAGCACAGACCCCCCTCCGTGGGGAAGGGGCTGCCTGTGGTGGTGTCTCCACGTGGGGCTGGGTGCTGGGGACCCCCCAGCCACCAGGGCTTTGTCCCCTGGGCTGTGTCCCCACACCTGAGCAGTGGCTTGGCCACCAGCCTGTCCCCTCCTGCTCCAAGCCCCGGTGCTGGGGGACTGTCCTCACTCAGGGCCCCCCTTCCACCAGTGCAGCCAGTGCAGGAGCCCCCCAGGGATGGGGACTGTCCCCAGGGCCCCCCTCACCCCAATACCAGCCAAGCTCCAGCTCTCATCCCACCAGGGGCTGTGGGGGCACAGCGGGGACTACAGGACCTGGGCAAGGGACAGTGACATCTGCAGGGTGGGGGGTGGCAGGGGGGGCTCTGGGGGTCCGTGGGGCTCAGAACTGCATGGCCCCGCTGGGGTCACACTGCAGCAGGCGCACGATGGACGGGTCGCTCTTGGCCCCTATGATGAACTCCTCCAGAGAGAGCTTCCCTGCGGGGAAGGGGACACAGCTCAGCCACCTCCTGAGACCACCCAGAGCAGCCCATGGACCCCCCTCCCCACCTGGGAGGAGCACCCTGGGGTGCCCAGCGGCCTGAGCCCCTCCTGAGCGAGGCCACGAGCCGTTTAATCAGCTCCTTCTGAGAGCCCAGGATTTAGCCATGAGACCCCTCCCTAATCCCCTGCAGCTCCTCTCATTTACCATCGTTATTAGTATCCATCTGTCGGAAGATTTTGTCCGTCCTTTTCTCCGGGGTGGATTCGTCTTCAGGCATGTTCATGACAGAGGAGACCATTTTGTAGATGGCCTGGGGGAAGGAGAGGGGGTTAGGGTGGGCTCCTGGCATTGCCCACCTGCGACAGGGACAGAGCTCCGGGCTTTGCTTCCCTGGGAATGGGGATAAATGGGAATGGGATCAGGCTGTGGCTCCTGCAGCTCCCAGCACAGCCAAGCCTGGAGCTGCTCCTGCACGGAGGGTTTGGCCACCGGGATGCCACTGCAGTGGCCATGAGAATCACCGGGATGGGATTTGGGCAAGGACAGCGTCTCCTGCCTGTTTGCCAACACTGCCCGCCCTGGCAGCACGGGAGACTCCCGGGATGAGGTGACAAAGGGACATCCCCAGGCAGGGAACCACTCAGGACACCTCCAGGACAAAACGACCCCCGCAACCACACCTGCAACAGCAACAACTTCATCCCTGCTACTGCAAAACCCCGTCCCGGGGATCCCGCAGCGCGAAATCCCCAACCCACCCTCACCCCGGGAGGCGACACCGGCAGCGCGCAGCGGGAGCCGCGGCAGAGCGGCGCTGCCCGGTACCTGCACGATCTCCAGCATCTCCTCCCGGCTGATGTAGCCGTTGCCATCCAGGTCGTACATGCTGAAGGCCCACATGAGCTTCTGCTCCAGCTTGCCGCGGGAGGTGACGCTCAGGGCGATGATGAACTCCCTGAAGTCGATGGTGCCGTCGCCGTTGGTGTCGAAGGTGCGGAAAACGTGCTCGGCGAACTTGGAGGCGTCGCCATAAGGGAAGAAGTTGGCGTAGATCTTCTTGAACTCCTCCACGTCCAGCATGCCCGAGGGACAGTCCTTCAGGAAGCCCTTGTACCAGCCCTGCAGCTCCAGGTCGGAGAACTCCGTGTTTTCCCGCAGGTCCTGGAGCATCTCCGGCCGGAGTTTGCTGTTCTGCTTCCCCATTGCGCTGCGGGGGGACGAGCGCTGCGGGGACAGGGGGGTCCTGGCCGGGCTCGGGGGGTCCCTGTGCGCTACAGGAGGGGACAGGGACGGGGCAGCGCTGGCTGGCAGCCCCCGGACGCCGATGCTGCTCCCTCCATCCCGCTCTGAGCCGTCGGGGCCAGCCCCGGGGAGCCCCCAGCGCCAGCCCCCTCCTGTTTGCGTAATAAGCCCTTCGAGCTCATTTGCATAATATAGAGGTGATATTTAGGTGGGATCAGCAGCGCAGAGCGGCCCCGAGGAGGGGAGGGAACCCCGGCAGAGCCGTGCCTGCGGTTCTGGGTCCAGCCCAGCTTTGGGCCGGCCGGATCTGGGTCAGATCCCCCGGGGGATCCCCTCGGAGCCGGGTTATTTCCAGCTCCTCCGCTCTCTCCGTTCATATTTGATGCCTCCGGCGGGCACTGGAGCCCCAGGAAGGGCTGGGGGTGGCAGGGACCTGCCCGGGGCTCTGTCCCTGCCCCACGGTGCCCCCAGCCCAGCCAGGAGGAGCTCACCAAGGGAGAGTCCAGCACCCAGCCTGGGGACTCCGTGGTGACCTTGTGCCACTGCCACCGTCCTGGGGTGCCCGGGGTGCAGTGGGGGCTTCAGTGCCTGGAGCTGCCTTATCCAGAGCAGGGAGAGGCCCCCCAGCACCCCCAAAACCCCAGAGATTCGTTCAGATCTCAGGGCAAACGGGACTCCCCAGGAGGAGCAGCCTGGACCCCCCAGTTTCGGGGGGCTGGGACCCCACAGGGTCTCTCCATCCGCCCCCCCCCCCAGGCTCCAGCAGCCCGAGGAAGGATCTGCGTGTCCCCACCCCACTCAGGGGTCCCCGGTTTTGTCCCCCAGGGGTCTGTGACCCCTCCCCACTGCCCGGGGCAGCCCCCACCGCTGGGGAGGGAACCCGTGGGGGGCTCAGCACCCCGAGAGGGCTCTGCAAGGACCCCCCCAAAAGCGGACACCTCGGGAGGGGCGGCTGGGCACCCCCAGGGAATCCTCTCCGAGGCTGGGGGGGCTCCGGGGGACTCCCCCCAAAACCGGACACGCTCGGATTGCCGGGACATCCCCAAAAGAAGCGTCGGGGACCGAGGGGGACCCCGGGCACCCCCGAAAGACTCGGCGGGGCGGGGGCGGCTCTGCCGGACGTGCCCGGGCTGGGTCCGTGCCGGTGCCCCGGGCTCTGCGGCTCCTCAGCGCCCCCCGCTCGTGTGTGTGCGTGTCCCCCCCGGGCCCCTTGTCCCCGCCACCTCCTACCTGCCCGGACACGGCCGCTGTCTCCGCCGCCACCGCCAACGCAGCCCGGGAGCGCCCGCCGCAGCGCCGGGAGGGGGGGGGCAGCGGCACCGGGGGGCACCGGGACCGGCACCGGGGGGCAGCGGCACCGGGGGGACACCGGCACCGGGGGGCAGCGGCACTGGGGGGCAGCGGCACCGGGGGACACCGGCACCGGGGGCACCGGCACCGGGGGGCAGCGGCACCGGGGGGGCACCAGCAGCATCCCCCGGGACCCCCCAGGACACCGCGTATCCCCCGGGACTCCACCCCATGCAGGAGAGCTCGGGGTGCAGCCCCTGTAAGGGGTTGGGGGGGCTCTGGGGGCACGGGGAGGTCTTGGGGAATGGGAGCACTGGGAACACTGGGAACACTGGGAGGTTTCCAGGCATTGGGAACACTGGGAGCACTGGGAGGTTTCCAAGCACTGGGAGCACTGGGAGGGTTTCAGGCATTGGGAGCACTGGGAGAACAGGAAGGTCTTGGGGAATGGGAAGGCTGAGAGCTCTAGGAGCACTGGGAAGTCTTCAGGCAATGGGAACACTGGGAAGGAGCACTGGGAGCACTGGGTGGACTGGAAGGTCTTTGGGCACTGGGAACTGAGAAATCTTGGGAGACTGAGAGCTCTGGGACCACTGGAAGCACTGGGAGGGCACTGGGACCACTGGAAGCACTGGGAGCTTTGGGAGCACTGGGAGTTTTGGGAGGGCACTGGGAGCTTTGGGAGCACTGGGAGCTTTGGGAGCACTGGCAGAACTGGGAGAACTGGGAGCTTTGGGAGCACTGGGAGAACTGGGAGCTTTGGGAGCACTGGGAGCTTTGGGAGCACTGGCAGAACTGGGAGAACTGGGAGCTTTGGGAGCACTGGGAGAACTGGGAGCTTTGGGAGCACTGGGAGCTTTGGGAGCACTGGCACACACAGTCTCCACTGGCCCCAGAAGCTGCCAGGCCTGGCTTTTTGGGGTTAAATGGGACATTTTGGTCTGGGTGTCCCCAGGATCCTCTTGAGGGTAGCAGAGCCTCCCCAGTGGCTCCAGCAAGGAGCAGAGTGGCTTTCAGAGCCCTGAAGAGGATCCAGCGGGGACAGATGCTGTCCCTGAGGAGGTGCCAGCCCCAGCAGGGCTCCCAGGCTCCCTCTGGGATGGCCCTGGCAGCAGATGGCAGGGGCAGACGGGAGGAAGAGTCACACTCCTTGGAATTACACAAACAAAAATGCACCAAGGGATTAAATGCAGGCCCCACCGCTGGCCTGGGGCAGCAGGGATGTGCTGGGGTGGCTGCTCCATGATGGGGAGTTGGGGGGAAGGAGCCAGCATGGGCTAATTCACTCAAAAATCTCCTGGGCATTAAAAAATCGTGGCTGAGCCTCACTGGAAGTGTCCAAGGCTGGGTTGGATGGGGTTTGGAGCAGCCTGGGATAGCAGAAGGTGGCCCTGCCATGGCTGGGGGGGCACTGGGTGAGTTTAAGGTCCCTTAGAACCCAAACCAAGCTGTGATCAGTGAGGCTGAGGGGCTTTGGGCACCCACTGAGGGAGACCTGGCACCTGCAGGCCCCAAAATGCAGGCTGAAGCGGGGCAGGGGACGGGGAGCAGTCCTGGCACAGCACCCAAAACCCAGGGATGTGCCTTGGAACAGCTCTGGACCAAAGAGAGGGGGAGAGCTGGAGCAGAGCAGGCCCTGAGGAGCACAGGGAGTTCACACACACAGGAATGAGCAATTCCCACTCAGAAACCTGGGAATCCTCCCTGAGCTCCACGTCGGGGTTTGTGCACTGGGATCCAGCCCCGTGGAGCGTTTTGGGAATGGGATTGGGCTGGAAACACGGGAACTGAGGAGGGGAGGTGCTGCAGGGGTGATTTCTCCTCTCTTATTGTAGAAAGAGATTTGGGAAGGGGAGTGGGATGGGGTGTGAGCAGAAAGGAGAGGAAAAGGGAGATTTGTGCCTTTGGGAAGAGACCCTGGGGGGCTGGAGCTGAGCACCCCATGGACAGCAGTGCCAGGGCTGGGGGGCCCCGAGGTGGGGGTGCCACCCCCCCCTCTGATAATCTTCATATCTATTTTAATCCCCCCGGGCATGAGTGACAGAGGCAGAACTGACGCAGGCTGATTTGAAAGCATCCCATTTCCGACTCCAACCCGACCCTAAACCCACCTAATCCCCGAGCTGGCAGGGATTGCAGGAGGGAGAGGGAGGATAATGCCCGGGAGGGGGGCACGGGCAGGGACATCAAACCCCCGGGGGTTCACAGGGTCCCTGGCACACGGGGGGCAACCCCCACCAGCTCATCCTGCCTGGCTCCCACCCCCTCCACCCCAAAAATGTCCTGGGTTTATGGCTGGTACCCCTGCAGCACGCCTGGCAGGGGGTGGGCAGCGGCTCGTGGTGCCCTGGGGGTGCCAGGGCTGCTCCGGGCCGGGTCCTGCTGCCAGGAGGGGCTGAAGTGGCCACAAGCGCCACTGTGGCATCGTCCCCAAGCTGCTGGGGACAGAGCGGGGTGCTGTGATGCCTGCCTGGGAGTTCCCGCTCCTTTTCCTCCTGGTTTTTTTCCTCCTCCTCCTCCTCCCTGCAGGGATTTCGGTGGGAATTTCCTGCGTTGCCATGGCAGCCGTGAAGCCCCCGAGGCTTGGCTGCGGTAGAGCAGGGTGGGGTGGGGCTGCAGGGGACACCGGGAGGGGACACCGGGAGGGGACACCGTGGAAAGAGACACCCCGGGAAGAGACACCCTGGGTGAGGACACCCCGGGAAGGGACACCCGGGAGGGGACACCGCGGTGTCCCTGTGCCCCAGGACGGGGGTTCAGGGCTCCCAGGGCTCCTGGCACCCCTCGGCGTGTCCCGGGCTGTGCGTGGTGGCCTCGGCGTGGCCCTGCCTGTGCTCCCCAAGCTGATGGGGCTCGCTGATGCTCGGCGTGCCCGGAGCTCGGTGATTTGGGGTCCAGCATCAGCCTCACCGCCCTCATCACCCCCCAGTGCCCACGGGAGCATCCCCAGGGTGCCCACACAGCCAGGGTGGCACGGAAGGGGTGCAGGGGTACCCAGGATGGCTGTGGGTGTGCCCGGGGAGGTTTGGTGCTCAGCACACACCAGACACCACCGTAAAACCTTCTGGGAGACTGGGACAAACTGGGACAGGGCAAAGCAGGGCTGGCAAACCAGGGTGTCCCCAGTTACCACACAGACCCCTCCACTCGGGCCCACGCTGTCCCCAGAGCGTGTCCCTGTCCCCACAGAGTGTCCCTGTCCCTGTCCCAGAGCATGTCCCTGTCCCCACAGCGTGTCCCTGTCCCTGTTCCCAGAGCCTGTCCCTGTCCCTGTCCCTGTCCCTGTCCCCAGAGCCTGTCCCTGTCCCCAGAGCGTGTCCCTGTCCCTGTCCCTAGAGCATGCCCCTGTCCCTGTCCCCAGAGCCTGTCCCTGTCCCCAGAGCCTTTCACTGTCCCCAGAGCCTGTCCCTGTCCCCGTCCCTGTCCCCAGAGCCTGTCCCTGTCCCTGTCTCTGTCCCTGTCCCCAGAGCCTTTCCCTGTCCCCAGAGCCTGTCCCTGTCCCCGTCCCTGTCCCTGTCCCCAGGCCTGGCCCCGCGGAGGGCACGGGGAAGGTGAGCGGAGCAGGGTGGGGCAGGGGCTGCGGGAATAGCCGGGGATTAAAAGCAAATACCCAGATAATGAGGATGTTCGGTAAAAAGCCCATTTGTATAATTTAAACCCCTAATGGGCTTCCTGGAACACAAAGCCCTTTGTGATGCCCCATCTCATCTGGATCAGGAGCCGCTCTCGCTAAATCTTC